CTTTTGACTGGTTCAGATTAATTTAGTCACAGACATGACTGACATAGTCATATTCATTCATGAGTTTACAAGGACATCACTGCTACTACCATTCTCATTACTTCATATTTATTGAGCACTCATAATGTTCCGGCCCCCCACTCCAATGACCTCATCACCCCTCCTACCCACACCCATCCCCATCCCCCAATCTTTGGGAAAAGCTTCATAATCACACCTGGCCCTAAAGACAAATAAGTACAAACCTCTTGGGGATGCTGGAGTGTTTGGTCTTTGGCCAGTCTGTCCCTGGCACTACTACAGAAATATATATATATATACACACACATATATGTATATATGTAAGTATATACATGTATATATGTAAATATATGTATATATATATAAAATCTTTGCTCATGTCTGTACAATATTGATTTCTGCTGATTGCTTAAAATAGAACCTGATTTTCTCTACTATGGCATCTTCTAAGACAAAAAGCCCCACAACAAAAGGAGGCCCAGCTTCACAGATTTGCCAAGAACCCCCAGAGTATTTTTAGTTACTCTGAAATTTTCACAGCAATCTAATACCTATTTTTCCATAGAGCTATTGCCCAGAGGAACATGACTGGGGCAGAGGGGCACTTGGGGATATGAAAATACCCATAAGCCCAGTCTAAAGATTAGTGGCCATGACGGATGTTTGTTTGGGAAGGGGACTCTTTTTTTTCCCCCTGACATTTCATATAGCCATCCTAGGCCCACCTGAGGAGTGCTAGCAAAGACAAGAGTCTCCCTGAATGCACATGTGGTCTAAGGGTACCTTGAGAAGTTGTGAATATTTCCTCAGAAAAGTGGAGACCTTGGAGTCCCCGGTTGCACTTGCTGTCCCTGGATGGCATCTTCAGCAGTTAAGAGGCATTTCCTTTAACAATCTAGGATTTCCTGGGATGCTTAGAGGAGGCTGGACATCAGCCCACCCCTTGAAAGAAATCCTTTTCAAGTCTAATGGCTTGGTGAGGAGTCAATGGCTGCTTTGAATGTGAAATTGGCCGCTCACCAAGCCCAGCTCTGGCACAGGTAATGTTCATGTCAAGAGCACTACTTCCTCAGACACCTCTGGTGAGATCCAAGGCCTTATGCTGGCAGGTGATTTAGCTAACAGAAAAAGCTGCTAGCTGAAATGGCTGGTATAGTGTAATAACACTAATGAGAAAATGATTAATCACATGTTGCTGGTGGAAGGGGTGAGTTCTGGTCATGGGCTAGAGACTGGCTCTGAGGGTTGGGATCATTAGATGTATACAAGGCTTGGGGAACATCCTCTCCAGGGAGCTGGTCAATCACCTCAGGAACCACCCTGGACTGCTGATTAACCTCCTCAGAGACTTCCCGGATCTGCAGGTCACTCTCCTCAGGGAACTCTTGGGATGGTGTATCAATCTCAGGGATGTCCTGGGACAACAGATTGATTGCAGAAGTCTCTTGGGCCAATCTGTCAACCTCCACAGAGAACTCCTGGCATGGTTGGCTGAGCTCCTCAATGACCTCTTGGACTGGCTTACCAGCTTCCACAAGGATTTCCTGAACCAGGTTCCCTACAGGGAACTCATGGATCAGCCTGCCAACCTCCACAGGGACCCCCCGGCATGGCTGGCTGACCTCCTCAGGGTTCTCCTGGCAAAGCTGGCAAGCTTCCTCAGAGACTTTCTGGCACAGGTGGCCGACCTTCTGGTATGGCTGGCTGATCTGAGGAACCTCTTGGCATGTCTGGTTAACATCATCATAGGTCTCCTTGCATGGCTGGGTGTTGTCAGGGACCTCTTGACATGGCTGGCTAACCTTTCCATGGATGACCTGGCATGGCTGGCTAACATCAGGAACCTGCTGGCATGGCTGGCTGATTTTAGCAACCTCCTGGCATGGCTGGCTGGTTTCCACAGGTGGATCCTCTGGGGACTGGTTTGGTTCAAAAGATTCTTGCTCCCCTTCTATGGGGAGTGCTCGTGCTCTGTTCCCATAGGTCTCCTGGAGCAGCCCAATGCCTTGATGACCTTCAGTCACATGTGAACTTAAGGAGGGTTGGTCACTGAAGCCAAAATGACAGTTACCATCCACTGCAGTAGGGGAGGAAGGACCAGCACTGGACACAGTGCTGGAAGGGCCACTGCTGTCTGTAAAGCAAAGTTAGGAGACCAAGTTAGGTAAGCCGTAGTTCAACTTCCAGGAGAGATGGCCTATATTACTCATGTATTGTGGAAAGAGAGTCTGAATTCTTTCTAAGTTATGTAGAGACTCCTAAGTTAGGCCAGCTCAGAAACTGTTGCTCTGGCCTAATATATACTACAGGAGTAGAACTAACATAGATCTAAGACTCAGGAGAGAGTGCTGAGGCCCACTTTATCCAGTTCTTTCACAAATACATCCTTATCCCAATTCCAAATTCCCAAGATCTCTCATTCATACTTTGGAAGCATATAACACTTTATCCCAGTGGTTCATAAATAGGGTTACATATCAAAATTACGGGAAATTTTTTAAAAATACAAATTTCCAGTTTCCATCTCTAGAGATTTTAATTCTGTGGGTTTAGGGTAAAGGTATGGGGTAGAGAGAGAGATGAGGGGAATATATTTTGTTAAAAGACTCTCATTAAATTTGATGGTTAAGAATCATTTCTTTAAAGCAATCAACATATTTCTGAGGCAGAGGTAATCATTGTTCATAGCCCAAATACAAATAAGCAGAAGAATGTAGAAAAACCTTGTGAATCAGAACAGTAGAAAGGAAATTGATTTACCCAAAGATGGAAGACTACCATGGACTCTCTAAATGGCAGCAGTTCTTAATTGACCTTTCTGGGGTTCACTGACCCCTGTGAAACGCTAATGAAAGTCATGGACTATCTTCCCAGAAAAATGTATGTATGGATAGTCACACTAATCTTTACATATAGTTCCTGGGGTTCATAGACTTTACACTGAAATCCATCCATAGATAAAAGTTAAGACCCTGTAAGTTCCGGGACACACAATGTTACAGGTTTGTGGATATTATACACATATAAAACATAAAAACTAATTTCATAGATCCTGACAGTAGCAAAATGAAGGCCTTAGTCTTCAGTTACACTGTGGGATAATTCCTATCCCAACCTCTACTTCTTCATTGACCTCTAGAAGAGTACTAATCTACTTTTCTCTTTGTAAATATTATAACTATATTTTGAGCACTCTAATATCAATAGATTTTGGAAATAGGGGACACGTGAATATCTTTTCATCAAAAACAACCTGGGAAAGAAGGCAAGCCTGAGCCTGCAAAGGCTCAATCAGCGACTGAGTTTGAAGTATGCCAGTTATCTCTTTTCTGTAAAGGATCATGGGAGGCATGTTTCAAGCAGAAAGAAAAAAAAAAAAAAAGACATGGTTTTGAGCCAAGGAGGCTAATTCAGGGCAGAGAGACAGACTCAAAAGAAAATGCTTACCAATGAGGATATACACCTGATACTGAGATTTAAAAAAAAAAAAAAAGCTGTAAGCTAAATTCACTCAAGGATAGAAGTAGCTTTAATATTTAGCTAGTGATGTGATTCAGGCCAATCACAGGTCAGAGCAGAAACAAAAGTAGGACAGGGACGGGATGGGTACAGAACCCATAAACACTAAGGTCAGAGGTAAAAGAGGCAATGGCAAGGTAAATGTAGGATAATCTGAAACTCAGAGGAAGAATTCTTGGTGCCAGGAAGGAAAGTTTCTTCTGCAAACAGGATGCCAGAATAAGTGCAAAATGTTGCAACTGTTTACCCCAATGCTGAAATATAAACCTTTGTTTAAGTCCTATCTAAATAAAATAATGAAAGGCATGTTGAATTTTAGTCATTCCCTTGAAGCAAGATGAATAAAGAAAGGATTTCTATTACTG